GAGAGAATGGAAAACTAACTGTATTTTTTTTTCAGCTATCCCATATCTATGATTTCCATTTCATTGACGGAACACATTCTGAACGTTGCTTTCATTTTTGAAAAAATGAAAAAAGAATTGAAAGGATTTGGTAAATAATTTTAAAAAGAGAGACTCGAGATATCATCAATACCACTTGACCAACTAACTCTTAAGTAACGAAAGAATGTGATTTGGAAGTTTCATAAAAACATTAAAAAAAAATCCTGCAGATTTAGGCTCTTTGACCTCATGGATACCTAGCATGGTCGGTTACATAACCCCAGCAATTTCCCTAAGCTATCGGAATGCACTCCTCGTCTCTATTTTTATACACTGCTCATAAATAACAAGTAGACCCACGGCTTGGAGGGAGTCTATAAAGCAGGGTCAAGGGCCAAATGGCATCTTAAAGCAAAGCAAAAATTTATCTATTTATTAGGGAAAAAAAACAAGCACATCAGACTCTGCGTAAAGAAATGATTATACAAATACTCTGGGGTTGGGAGAGCTGCCAACACTCCTGCTCGTACAGAGAATCTCATAGAAGAAGGTAGAAATTGTGATCAGCACCAGCACAGCCTAATAGGCTGGGAACCTAAGATCTGACAAAGAGCCAGACGGATAGCAGAAAACCCCTCTAGCCCTGCAGGTGAGAAATAAGGCAGAGGAAGGGAGGAGGCAAAACCTGAAAATAAAGATCTGGGAGAAACAACGCAATCTTGGAGGTAGCCCCAAAAATGCTTGTTAGAAGGCCCAAATTAGAGCAAAAGATCTAAATCTCATTGTTTCAGCTTAAGATTTCAATGGAGGATCACCCCCACCCCCACCAGCCCCTACCAACTTGTTGTTACTCATCCAGCAGGAAAAAGGCTTGAGTTTCAACCACAAATGCTGGCATTTGACCAGAGACGGCCCACATGGGCATGCAAATTAGGTCTTCATTGGAATACCTGTGCAGAAGAGCTGGGGCCTGGAAAGAGCCTTCCCGGACACCCCAGGGCCCTCAGAGTGGCCAAGCCACTGTCCTGAGACCTCACACTCTGTCCAGGACGGTCTTGTTGTCTGGTCTGGAAGGGGTCAATATTTTCTATAAAGAAGGAATGCTTGATGAGTGATAAGAAGAATTTAGTCATCTCTTCCCTGTTTAAGAGGAAGTCAGTGGAAGTCCTTGGGCCCAGAGTTACATAGAAAAAAGATGTTGGTTCTTGTAAGAAAGTAGGCTTTGCACCAGAGAAGGAGGCATTTGCAATGTAGAGACCGGAAGGGAGGGAAGAGGGTGACGTGAGCTCCGCCGAGAGTGTCAGGAGGGCAGATCAGGGTCCCAGCCCCTTCTGCTGAGGGTACTCGAGCCTCACTTGAGACAAATTCTTAAGATAATCATAAAAATCCATAGCAACTTTGTTGGTGTTGAGGTTTACACTGAGATTCCAAATCAAGAGGCTGGGCAAGTGAAACGGGTTTGGATTTCTTTCACACAGCATGTGAAAGAATGTGAGGGTTCCTGGTCAAAGTCAAGAGCTGGCCGCCGCCTGCCCATCGGCTCTGCTCACACCTATTCCACCCAGCTCTTCTGTAACAGGAAATGAGGCCAAAATGCATCGCCAACATCATTCACGTCCAAAATGTTTTCCAAACAAACTGTTTCACAATGGTCTGTGACAGCGTTTGTTTTGTCTATCCTCCCATGGGGGAGAGAAACTGAGGCCAAAAGATGAGTTGGCATGTCCAAGCCTTTCATGCATGTCTGGGGCCAAGAGGATGAAAATGCACCCACACCTCAAGTCAATTCTGTATCTGTGTATCAGCACAAAAAAGAATAAGACGCTTTTGAGTGTGCGTGACAAGTGGTCTGAGTCATGAGATCTGGTTTGAACAATAAAATGAAGGAAATAGCCAAAGGCCTCTCCTATGCAGCTCCTCCAATATGGGCTTCCTGGACAGCACTGCAGCCTTGGGGAGACAGATGCTCACAGGACAAGTCTCTCAGCTGGAAACTAGAAGGGCCTGTGTGTGTAGCCTCAGGCACGTGACCTCCGAAAGTAGGAGTGAGGCCCTGGGGAAGTTGAGGTTGACAAGAAGGAAAAGTCAACTTTGGGAAGCATTATTAGGCTGGTCATGGCCACAAGCAAGCAGCAGGGGCTCCAGCCAGCCGGCATCCCATGAGGAGCCAAGTGGAATGCTGGTCAGAAGCATCCCCAGGGGAGCACAGGTGACGGAAGCACGTACCCTGCCCTCAGGGCTTGGGACTTGCTCTGAGCAGTGACTTTGTGTCACTCTGGCCTTCACACACACGTGGTGCCTTCCAAGAGCAGAATTCAAAATTCTGTGTCAATGCCAAGTGCTTCTCAGCCAAGGGTATCATTCCCCATGGCCACAGCAGGGATGCCAGGTGAGACAAGAGGAACCTAAGCCTAGGGGCCCCAAATTCATCACCCAACAAATCTTTTCTTTCTTCTTAAAAACACACATGCTCATCATTCTGGAAGATGCCCTAACATTCCAAGTTTGGCCTGCCCACCAGCCCTCCCATCCCTACCGTGGTCCATCCTCGTTGCTGGTTCCTGTCCAGCAGGAAGGGAGCAGGAACCTGCCTGCCAGTTGTGTCTCCTGAAGCAGCTCTGGCCAGGCTCCTCTCGCCTCTGCCTATAAGGCCGGATGTTCAGATGTCAAAGATCTGACTTTTTGTAGTTGCAAAGAGCCATGTGGAATCCCTGATTTTGGGATTGCTGTCCTTGCAGCTGTGACACTGATGCAAACCATTCGTTTCCTCTAACTTCCAAGGGCTGGAGCGGCAATAACCCTTCCCCTCTTTTGCATGTGTGCAGGATGGGAGTTTCAGATGTTGTTTACCTGCTAGAGGTGGAGTGGAGGCTTCCCAAAGCAACAGGATGTGCCCACTTAAGGACCACATGACGACAGGGACTGAGAGAACAGGGTGTCTTTCCTAAGAGGCAGTGTCCCTCAGGGACTGAGCCAATCAGAGAGCTCGCAAAGCCTGCATGCCCTGAGGACCAGGATTTAACCTCCTTGGGTTCCATTCGATTGCGTTTGAGACCCTTTTCCTAACTGTGCCTGTGGTGCCTGGTTCATAATCAGTGCTCAGTTCGTGGTGAACTTGCCTTCGTCCCCCAAATGTGAACGTCTCCAGCTTCCTATTTCCCTTCCACTCCTCACTCTAAGTCCTTAAATTGGGTGACCATTAATATTACTGCTAGGAGCATTTTCAGAGCACTTTCCATTTAAAGCTCATTTTCCTTAGAATAGATATTAAAAACATCTCAATGGACACATTCCTTTCCCCAGAGGATACATCATGAATGTGGTTGGAGAGGGCAGAGTCATAATTCAGAGAATTCAGGGTTGATTTTCCTTACCTTCCAGCGCTTTTGCTGTCAAGTCTGGAGCCCCAGGAAGTGCTGCAAAACTACCCCTTGCTTTTCCCTCCAAGAGCAGGGCAGAATACATTGCTATTTTGTTTGGTTTTGTTTCCTATATACAAGGCCTCCCAGGCCCTGGAACCTAGGCCGCTGGCATTTTAATTAATGTTAATGACTGGGCTGACCCCCACCCTCCCGAGTCTCAGTAAGGGAAATAAACGCAAACTCCACCCGAACAAAGCGATGTGTGGAATGGTGCCCTCTGGAAAAGCTGACCTCTCTGATCTCTGGCCGGCTCTCTAACTCAGGCTCACGCTCCTTCCCCCATATCCCCCAATTTCTAATTTTTTAGTTCAAATAGAAATCATTTGCAGGGGTAATGGGGGGTGGGGGGGGCAGCGGGTAGATTTCTTCCTTTAATACAAAAATGATTCTGGGGGTCTCAGAATCGGAATCTCCACTTTCTCATCACCAGGAGCATTTTTACTCTGAGATCAAGACAACCAGAATGTGTCCAACCATGACTTTACAACAACAGAAAAGATACAAAGCAAAAGCCTTCAAATACCTGGAATCTGGCCTTGAAATCGACCAGGCATTTAAATCCACATGTATCCCAGTTGGGTCAAAACATAGTCAAGATTTCCTCCAGATACTGTGTTTTATTTTTCTTTTCAAGTAAAGTTTTATTTTCTCCCCAACCTTTACGGCTTAAGCATTTTATCCAGTTTAAACGATGGGGATTTAAATTGCTATTTTAGTGGAAGAGGCTTGATTAAAACCTGTGTCCTCATCAAATTATTGGACAGTGGTTCTTGGGCTCTGTTTACATTAGTGTCAACCTTAATTTAAATTCCGCATAACTATATTTGCTTCGCTAAATGCATTCGCCAGGAACACACCACAAATTACTTTGCATTATGAGCAGAGTCTCTTTGTCTATTGCAAAGTGTTTTGAAATTAGCACCGTAAGTAACTGGCTGTGTGTCACTCCATCTCCTTAATGCCTCATTAATCAAACTCCACGGCAGCTGGTGTGATGTCCAAGCCCATCGCATATAAGATCAGTATCATTTGCTCCTTGCATTTGACCACGGTCTTTAAACTTGATTTGTATTTGTGCTTTTGCCCCTGCTGCAGCTCCTCCTTCAGTGGCCTCCCAACACGTGGGGCTTTGCATGGATACCAGTTGCATGTGTACTCTTTTTAGAAATTGGAAATAAAAACCAATTTCCCCATGTTGTGGAAATGCATAGCCTCAAGGGCAGGAAATTGCTTTAATGGAGGAAGAGTTCCAGGTGTTTCCCTGAGTTACGCACAGTGATTGCCCATGATCTTCAAGTTAGTGCTAAAATGCCACAGTGGAAAAATTTCCCCAGGCAAGTTCTTCTCTACATGGAGAATTAGATAAAAGAATTACATTTACCCAGGCAGACTACAATTTCCACCTTGGCCTCAGTTCCAACACCCCAAAAAATATACATTTAGTCTAAGCACCTAATTAGGAAAAAAATGTATTAGTTCCCTTATTATGTGATATGAATTATTCTGTACTAAATACAAAATTTTAGAATTTATGCTTGCAAAAGAAATACAGAACAATTTATACTTAACAATTTTATTACATGTACACACAAAATCATAGCAAAATATGACATATTTTACAGGATTTTTTTTTGTCTTTTCATGGTGCCATGGAATATTTGCAAATGCCTAAATGGAACCCTTTCTTAATTCTCCACACCTTTTCCCTACATCACACACAAGTCCAAACACACACACACACACACACACACACACACACACACACACCCCTATATACATTCATCCTTTTAATCAAAGATGATACTCACTGGCATTAAAACTAACAGCTCTACTGGACAATGGCTTCGTAGACATGTTCGAGGCTGTCTTAAATCTGGTCTGGGCACAGGCACCTCAGATGTGATTTCCCTGCAGGGAAGCCCTCTCTGTGGCTGTCGGGGGCACGTGCGGTCCCTCGCCTGCCAGCGCTGAGCTCAGCCTTACAGTGAGCCGAGATGAACAGGTGCTCTCTTCTCTGGCGGCGGCACGTGAGGTCCGTCTTTGCAGAGCAGTGTCTCAATGGGACGCCTTTAGCTTCATGGCCTTTCCTTCTGACCACCCAGCAGGAAAAAGATATGAAAGTTTTTTTTTTTTTCTGCCAGTTTTGTCAGTAAGACAAAATAAAAATAACAAAAAAACACACAGCATTAAAACTTTGTATTTCCCACAGGTGGGCTTCTGAAATGTTTAATGCATTAATAGTAAACCATTAGTTTTCTTTGGAATTAACCTTTTTGCCTTTTCACCTTATAAAACAATTCAAGCTAAATGACCACATTACAATAGAATTAGGCACTGTAGCCTGGTTCCCAAAATAAGCATCAAGTCAGAACACACACCCACAGTGCACACCTGTGTCAGCTTTTGACTTTCATATCAACTTAATGTAACTGTAGTTTATATCATTGTCACATCTACTTTCTCTTATGTTTAAAATAGGCTCTAATTTTTAAAAAGCAGATGTAAAGATATTTTGATTATTTGTTGACATTTATTTCGATTGTAGGTGTAATCTAAAGCAATTATAAAAGTACCTGGTGTGTCCCATCTCCAGTTCATCCTGCTTTTACCCTGAGTCCAGCAACCTTTATTCATTAGGATTCTGAACAAAATAAGTGTGGAAAGGAGAAGTCCAAAATGATATTCAGAAGTGGGAAATCATAGCTGAACACAATTTTAAAATTGACAGTTTAAATCTTTTGCCTCTTTTCAGCAGCCAGAAGTCTGATAATTTAACCCAAAATCTCTACCCCAAAACTTCCCCTTTCACTGCACTCCATGCACACCTCTCCCCCTTTTCCGCTAAAGGCAACATTTTGGCTTGGCAACGTCACTAAACTCTTCCGTTTAAATGCCCAACAAAAATGGCATCCGATCACAGCTTTTGAAAGGAAAAGAAAAGAAAGAAAGAGAGAGAGAGAAAGAGAGAGAGAAAGCAAGCAAGCAAGAAAGATAAATGAAGGAAGGAAGGAGGGAGGGAGGAAGAAAGAAAGAGAGGGAGGGAGGGATGGAGGGAGGGAGGGAAAAAAAAGAAAAGCAAGAAGAAGAAACCACAAATCAGACATAGGCAACGTCAATGTCCTAAATGCCTGCCCCATCTGTTCTTTCATTCTCTCCCTCACCATCCTCATGAAATAAAAGAAAGCCAAGCATAACTTGTTACAGTAAAGGCACCCCGAGATTTAGGGGGATAAGCACGGCCTTACTTGTTAGCTGCAATGCTGCAGCTGTGCTCTTATCTGGCCAAAGGAGACAGGGGACAACAAAAGATCCTAAAGAAGGGACGGTGGACGCATGGGAAAACCACTACCCCAGCATTGTGGTGCCCTTCTGCTGAGCAAATAGTTCAAACTGTTCATTCCCATCTTCTATTCTCTCCCTGGTACATTGTTTGTGCCCTTGCATTTCATTCTGCAAGGAAGGTTGCTCTCTGGGCCTATAAGCAAACAGTCCAGAAAAGGGCTAGCCATCCTCTTCTCTTCCCCGGAGAACTAGCATTTTTATTTCGGCTCCAAGCTGTCAAGGATCTGGAGAGTTTATGTCAGTGTCCTGAATTAATTGCTTTAAGCTGGAGCAAGCTCCGTGGGCTACCAAATGTCCAAAAGATGTTTATTAATAACATTTCCTCCAGGACTGTGGCTCCAAGCTGTCTCTGGGTGGCGGCTTTTCTATGCTGCCACCCTCTCACCCCTGGCCTCTTAGTGCTAAGGAGGGGGGTTGCCTCTTTCAGTCATCGTGACAAAATTTAGAATTGCCTGGGGTGAAATAAATATCCACCTATGTCACAGGATGTGCATGGTGGATATCTTTGTCTTGACCCAGAAAGAGTTACAGAAGCCCGTGTACAACCCACAAGAGGGCTGGAGGACACAAAAAGCAGCCAGGACCCCCCTCTGTGAAAGTTCATTTAACCAATACAATTAGCAAAAGAAGCAGGAGAAATCGAGGCTTCAGCTTCTCTGCCCCATCTCCTCCTCCAAAAGAAAATTCAGCGAGACTGACAACACAATGCATTTTGAAGTTTTCCTGGTACCAAAAAAAAAAAAAGCCTCTTTAATAGAATGAAATAATAAACCAATTTATATACCGATATAAGACTAGGATCGAGAGTGCCACTGTGTAATTTTCCACTTGACTTTTCATTATCTACCTGAACAAAATCAATCTATATGTATGGGATCAACATACAATTCCGGAGATAAAAGCTGAAAATAAATGCGCTTTGCATATCCTGGAGATAAAAGACACAATCCTTGGTGCTGCCTTTTCCTCTCCAGCAGATGCATTTATAAAATAAATTGTTGTGTCAAGGAAAAAGCGAGACGTAGCAGTATATCTTGAGTGTTGACTCCTTTGCTGGAAATATTGATCCTGCAGATGAACAGTGGTTAATAAGTACCCTGCAGATGGTATCAGGTCTTTGGCCCCAGTTTACCCAGAGTGCAGTCTGGGTCAATGTTTCTCCCAACCACAGCTCCCAACCTCCATTAAAAAAAAAAAAAAAAAAAAAAAAGACTTCCCCTATTAGCATGGATTTAAAGCTGAGGACTTCAAGGGCTTTTTAAAGCCACTCTACAGAGATAAAGCACATTGAAAATTCACATTATATTAGAAAACCCCATGCAGCAAATGCCCAGCTTGTGAAGCACAGAGCCCTCAAAAGGGAAGGAGAGAAGGCTCCATGCACTTTAGGGTTGACATTTGTTACTTTAAACATGCTGGGTCTTGTATGACCTTCTTTGCTCCAATCATTAGCAATGGCGCTAACAGTAGTAAGGCTCTCTCCACATTGGCCATGTCATGGGTCCTCCCTAATTCCCTTTTTTGAGGAATATGTCACTGAATCTGTGTGACCTGGTGGGCAGATGGTGGGGCATTGTTGAGGGTGCCCTGGCTGTTTGTGTGTCCTGTTGTGTTCAGTGCTCTTTGAGGAACGTACACCCACTCTGCCCTCCCAGGGTGGGCTCACTTTCATTGCTAGTCACCTTCCTGTAAGGGAGGGGTTTATTCCCAATGTTGTATACATCAGCCAAGAGAGGCCCACAAGGCATGGGACCCTCTTTCACCCCAAACAATCACTCTGAGTTTGTGGATATTTTCTGGTCATAGAAAGAGATTTCCAAAAATTATCTACTCTTCATTGTTAATTCATTGTAAGTTTCAGTGACCTCAGAGGAGCTTGAATATCTACCTTGGCAGTGTGACTGTCACAGCTTCAGTTCTGACGGCAGGACAAATCTACACTTGTGTATTTAAGGTCTTTGCATTGACAGATGTTAATGGCTGTTGGTCTATTGCTCCAGCACAATTTTGCAGCTCCCAACGTTCCTGTACCCACTTCCCATCTCCTGAGCCCTGAATCATGCACAGCACCCATTTGGGCTGTGACCATTGCCTCTTGATAAGCAAGTCTCGTTCTGTGTTCCATTCCTGAGTTTATATTTGTTGAAAACTCTGAGGAAAGTGTTCAGAAGCAATCCGATGCAGTGTCATGGCCTTTGGGGAAGCGCTTGGGAGGGTCAAAGCTCAGCCCGGGGAGCAACTCACATGCTTTTAGTCACAGGAGACCCTTTGGACAATTAGTGTGCTTTATCCATCTCATCTTTTTGTTCCAGTAGCTGTCAATAAGCAAATCTAGAAAAAATGTAAGAATGTGGTCAAGAAGAGTTATCAGTCATTAGACTTTTGTTTAGAAACTAAACAAACACTATTCTGAAGGCATGTTTTAAAAGGGCCTTACATTCTCATGACAAATGATGCCTGGAATGGCTACAGCTTTCAGCCCTGGTGAACTTCAGACTTATTTGATCTGTGTTTTAATTACTCTGTGATCCAATTCTGCATCGTAGGGAACCAGTACAGTGATATAAGAGCTTCAACCAGCATGAAGGAGCTTTGTACCCCGTGAGTTCCCTGAGGAAAGACAACACACCGGAATGGGGTGCTATTTCCACAGAGAAACCTGCTCAGCGTGGAAAATGTCTTGCTAAGTGGCCTCAGAACCGTCTTTTCAGACTGGAACAGTGCTCCAAGCCCAGGCAGAATCCTGACACAGTGGAAGTCAGCCCATGTTGATGAAATACATATTTACTAAACAGGAGAAAGTGAGTTTTTCAAAAAGGTATGATTACAACATTTTTAGTGACCATTACTTAGTTGAATTATCTTGATGCCATTTCCAAGGGGAGGAAAAATGGACAGTAAGAAGTCCAGTAAATTTACGTAGATGCACATGTTACAATAAATACAATCTGACAGAAAGTTATCAACCTTTGTATTTTAAAAACTGTGCATCAACAGCTCAGATCTTTACAAAAAGAGATGAAGGATTTCAGACAATTCAAAGTCCAATGTGTCCCTTCACATCAGACTTGATGGAGAACCGAGAAACCCATTTTACAGGTAAGCTAAAGTGAGATATGTATTTCATTTAACCCTTTATCAGGCAAGATGGGAATGCTTTCCAACATTGTTGTGATATTGGAGGGAAGGAGTGGGAATGGGAATTGGGTAAAACGTCGTGCTCAATCAGAATCTCTTGCAACTCTTCTAGAAGCACTTGCCGGAACTTAGTGATGATAAAATCCCTGCCCTGGGCTTTCTGAGCTGCCAACACAATATCCACTCAGAAGAGGGTGAGATCTCGGATTGGGGCCAGAAGAGGACTTTGCTCTTCCCTAAAGACACCACAAACTCCACAGTACTTAACATGTCCTTCAAGTGGTCCCTGATCAAGATAGTTGTTTTTTGAAAATGGAAAGAAACACAACTGTCATTTATCCATGGTGACAACTTGAGCGGTTAATTAAAATTTTATTTTGAAAGCATGCTGTCACTGCAGAAAAGTTCCCGGATTATAACACTACAGAATGCTACGAGAAACACACATGATTTATTCTGTCTTATAGCCTATCTCAACTTGTTATGAAATGTTTTAAATGTGGAAAACTAAATGAAACATCTCTAAAACTACATTAACGTTTGACTCAAGGCATTGTTTAGGGGAATACAAGAAGGTGGCTGGCCCCTCCTCATACATATCCCTGTTTTTCTTGACTTAAAAATGTCTCAAATGTATTTCTTAAATATGCTATCATTATTTACCAGTGAGGAATATGTACCATTACTGCTTTTCTCCCACAGGTTATGGAACTCAACAGCACATAATGTCAGGGAGGGAAACTTGCTTTTAAAGAAACATGAAAACAGTTGCTCCATTTCATAACTGGGGTTATAACAATATTATGGCAATTTCCTTTAAAATGGCATTTGACACACTTCAACAGAGGGAGTGCCAGGCATTCTGTTTGGTGTGGCTCCCGGCTGCACCAGCACCAGCTGTGTCATACATGTTGATATAACGTGCGGTGCCTAAAAGTCGAGTTAAGTGTTCAAATGTACTTTATTTTCTTTTCCCGGAAATTCTGCAAGATCGAGATGTAAATTTACAATCAAACACAGAAAGGATTGCGGGGTGCGGGGGGAGCGGTTATGAGAGTGTCCTTCTAAAAGGAACTGTCTGTTCCCTGCAGAAATGTTCATGCCTTGTCCCAAGCATCACTTAAAGTTCGAAAGGAGCATGTACCGCCCAGCTCAAGAAAGGGCTTTGCTCTCAATCTCCCAATGCCACTCACACTTTAAAAGTGATTAATACTTGCTAAGTATTGACCATTTTTAATAAACCAGAAACAGTATCCCAGAATCTCTGCACACTGACCTGTGAATGGATGAAGCCAAGGAACACTGGTGAAGCCAGTTCTCTCCCTTTGCTTTCCTCCGAGGAAAAAGGTCAGTAGGAAACACACTGGGGGCTGTTTGCAGTTGTTTCTTTTTGTTTTGCTTTTCTTTTCTTTGAAAATAAAAAAGATAAGCATCCATGTCCAAATAATTTGAAGCAAGATCAGTCTAGTTAGCGGAGAATTTCAGTGGCAGCTTTCCTAGAAACTCCAGACTGACTCGAACAGCAAGTACTGAGACGCGGTTCCATCCCATTGTGAGGATTTCTTTTTCTTTTTGAGTAAATAAATAATTTTAAAAAGTCACAAAAGAAGGGAGGCAAATTATTAGATATTGTGCTTGACATCAAGGTAATTTTACATTTATAAAGGCATACTGGCTTTCGAAATGTTTACGTTCCAGTCTTAGCTAAAAGGTCTGGTCATGTCCCCCAAAATGGGTCTGAATTGATGTGAGGTTTTATACAGACTTTAGGTCTGGTGAAGGTAATTTTGTGGAACTACATGTTATGATTTGGGGTGAAATTAAACCCTACACTTGACTCCAGTGTCCATTTTGAGCTCGTTATGATTGCATGTGTTTTTCCTATTTGTGCCCGCCTTTTGCAGCCCTGCATGCGCCTACAGATGGTTACATTCTCATACTGGATACCGGGAGAAGGTCACATGCTTTGCATCAGTGGCAATTAGTTCCTTTTTGAAAATGGAAAATGTCATTAAGTTCTTGAATAATTCAAGAGTAGAGGTCACAATACAGTGTCCCTTTTGGGGGTCTTTATGGTGCAAATGGCAAAACAAGGAGATCCTATCAGTAAGAGTAGATCTAAGGTTTACAATGTAGCTCTATTTAGTGTGACAAGAAAATTAAATTACAGGAGGCACTCACTCATTGTCACCCTTTAACAGGCTTGGGAAGATTGTGAGTCCCTGGGGGTAAATCACTGACAACGTGTGAGGGGAATAAAAATATTTCATTTTAATTGGCGGTTGTTTCCGTTGCTTGATTTTGAAAACAAACATAAACACGTCCCCCACAGCTGTCCTTGGAGATAGGGCCCCGAGTCTCCCAAACAGGACCCCAACTTACAGTCTTTGCCCAGAGGCAGGCGGGTTAACCGCTCTGGGGAGCCTGGGTCTATTTTCTCAGCCATGGTTGAGCTGGTCTTTATCCAGCGGTTCCTGGAAAGGAAAATATAGGGACAGGTTTCAAATGAAAATGGGTGTCCACTACTCCGCTCCCCGCCCCCATCGGAGTCAGCTGGAGTGCAGTTATTATGCTTCTGGAACGGAGGGCAGCCCTTCGATTCTATCAGGACTGAGGAGGAGGAAGGGAAGACAGAATGACGCCGAGGCCACCCATTCTTTCTCCTCTCCAGAGGAAAAAGAGTCCCAGCTCCTTTTGAGATCTCCGGTCGGAGACGGTGCAGCTCGGGCTGCAGCGGGACGGACGAGGGTTCCGAGGAGAAAGTGCGGGCTGGGGGAGCGAAACGAAAATCCTGAGGTCATTGAATGACAAGAAAGTGTCGCCTGGGCCGTGCCAGCAGGTCCTACCCGCCGCTGGCGTCCCCAGCGTCCCGCCCCCGGTCCCAGGCCCCCGGCTGTCCCCCGCCAAGCACTGGTGGGCGTGGCCGCCTGGGTCGGTCCCCCACCGCAGCGGGGTCGTGCTCCCAGCCTTGACCCAAGGGCTTCTGCCTGTTCGCCCGGCCCGCCTCCGCGCGTTGCCCAGCGGGCTTTCCCGAACAGGGCCGACCTTGGCACCTGCTGGAGAAACCGGGACTCGCCTGTGCTCCGGGAGGCTGGAGAGCGATGGGGAGGGCGAGAGAGGAATACAGCTGGCAGAGCCCACGGCGACGGGGGTCTGGCCGGGTCCCGTGGGGTTGGCCGCCCAGAGTCGGTTCCCTGCGCTCTGGAACTCGTGGGGGGAAAGCAAGAATGACCGTCCCTCTGCCTCGCGCTCTTTGCGACCTCTCCCCTCACCCAGGTGACATTTAGCAGGCATTTTCCTTTCGTGTCCTCCTCCACTAAGACCCTTGTAAGTCCCATGTCAGCTGAGCGATGGTTGAGGGGGGCAAGGAGAACCCCCCGCAGGGCCAACCCGAGTTCCGCGTTTCGCGCAACTCGGCAGCCGGAGCTCGCCAGGCCGGGAAAGCCCGACGGATCCGCAGGGACTCGGGGGCTCCACCGACTGCTCTGCGGACCTCGGGCCCGACCAGGGCACGGGCGCACCCGAGCGGCCCCGGCTGCCTGTCCCCGGGGATCCCGGCACCCGCTGCCTTCCCGGAGCCTGAGCACCCGTTCGGGCTCCCGCTCCAGCAGCACGAACCCGAGGGAGGCTGCTCCGAAGGTCCCCGGGCCACTCACGGGGAGCCCGGGGCCAGGCTGTCAGCCCTGGCTAGGGGCTCACCCAGGACTTAGAAAAGGGGGTGCTACTTTATTTCGGAAGCAGGTCGGACTCGGTGAACACCTAGAAGAGGGAGGCATTTAATTTTTATACACACACACGCATATATATATATATATATATATATATATATATATTCCAACGTAATTTGTCCTAGGGTGAATGATTTGTGCCTCAACTTTGGTAAATTTCCTAGTAGAATTAAAGAACGAGGTTCGTGCCTGGGATGGGGGAGGGGAGATCAGTGAGGGGACAGTTTAGATGTTTTTCCTTTTCTAAATGATTCAATTTAAGCAAACACTTGGGGGCTTCAGGCCGCTGTAATTCCAAAGACAATTTTCTCTGGTTTTAATTTGATTTGCATTTTTTCAACTTTGATAATATTCAATTTCATGGCTGAATACACAGGTAAACACCGTTAGGTCGTGTTTTTCGCCCCTTGCGCCAAACAGAATTTCGCTTTTCTCGGTGCCACAGGAGGTTACACCCCGCGTCCTCAAAATATCTGCAAGTTTCTCTTAAATTATTTTTCAAAACTTAGCGCGGCAATTTGCCTGAGCTTCAGAGGTGGCGAACTGGGATAGACGGAAAGTACTAAGCTAGCCAAGGTGCGGGAGGGCCTGCACAGACCCCGAAAGACAAAGGCAGTAACGGAAACAAATCCCTATTTGATACAGAATCAATTCTATTTTTACCCAGCACGATTTTTCCATATTGTCTTAATAGTTTTAAACAATCCAAATATAACAAATAAATTACCTTCTCCCAGAAATGTTTTTAATGTGGATTTCATTGCTAGAAAGACAAATGTTGAGAAATGTAAAGAGATCATCTTGATAAGGAGAGGTTTAATGGCCACTCTTAAGCTCTTTTATCAAACGTAAAATGCAGAAGAACACGCAAGGTGAAATTTGGAAATAAGCGTTAGTCATATCAAAACTGATATTCAACAAACCAGCGCTGCCAATGACAATGAAAAGTAGGTGATGTGACCTGCCCATGGGAAGTCAGTGGAGAATATGACAGAGCGTTTCATCCTCAGGACACAACCGAGACGTTTTGCGATGAAGTACTTGGCACCTAATGAATTTAGCAAAACTCCAAATACATTTTATACTCTATTTACAAAGCTGTGCTGGAAAAGGAAAGGACACGCTCTTTTGGTTTGTCCAAGAACACCTTATAAACTAAAATGGCTGTGTGATTTCCAGCGCTACCCTTCATTTAGAAATATCTCTATATATGTATATAGATGCTGCTAATGTAGAACACTTGATACTGTATTTCTACAGTAGATACGTTTTTATCTTAAATAGAAATACAATAGAAAACCCAGATACAACATTTCTATCTTAAGTCCTAAGAATTTGCAAATTACAATGCTTGTTTTATTTTAAAAATACTAAAAAATGAAACAGGTCTCTGAAACGTCTAAATCCTAAAAAATAAAATAGATCTGTGAGACTTCTTAAAAGGCTTTATGCTCCAGGCCAGCAGATAACAGGTAACTGTATTTTTAGTTGAGGTGATCTAATTTGAAAAATATCTTTTATCAAGTGAAAGGCATTTAGGCAAACAAGAAAAGAATTCCATTCGAAATACAACAGACTTTGAAAGAGAAAGTCCCTTAATTTTTTTTTAAAAAAACACACTCGTGGCAGACTGACTGTCCAATGTCTTCGGCAAAACTATTCTTTATCATTTAGCTTTTTTAAAAAAAAAGCATTATTAAATTTAAGTTATTGTTTGGGATTTGCACTAAGCTTTTCTGTTGTTTTGGAAGGCTGGCAATTATGCCTACTTTATTTTACACAAATAGATGGCAGAGTACGCACGCTCCACACAATTGCTTCACAGCAAACCCATTCTTACAGACAGAGCTAATGAGGGGGCTAATTATAACACACAATCTATTCAGAGAATGTAAACTGGGGACAATGGAGTACATCTTTCCCTTTTTCTATTAGTAATTGAGGAGTAAATGGGGATCTTGTAAGGAACTTAGAAGTTTGATCATCAGTGAGTGAGTTTGCCATTTTCATTTGCTTTCACCTCCAAAACAGATCTGTATTGAGACATGGCTGCCTCAGCCAGAAGCAGAGCTGCTGCCTCACAGACAGAATCTGCCCTCCCTCCACCTTCAACTTTATTCCAATGGGTCTGAGCTGCCACAAGAAGAGGGGCTGGTGTGGAGGAAGGGAGGCAAGGGAGGAGTGGTCGGGGAAGTCTCTGGAAAGCATTCTAGCCAGGTGGGACTTCCAGATGTGGCAGGGTTGGGGGCTTGGGAACTTGAGAATATATGCACCTTGGGAGAGTCGTGAGTCTTGGGAAGAAGGCACAGCACCCACCTTTACCCCTGCAAAGCGCCCAGCAGCTGGGAGACGATTCGCTAAGAGTGCCATATAGGGACAGTGATCTGCCTGTTCTTCCATGACGACCAGGAGGCCAGAGGCCTGGGCCTGAGGAAGGGAGTGTGTGTGTGTGTGTGTGTGTGTGTGTGTGTGTGTGTGGTGTGAGAGAGAGGAGGGAGGGAGGAGAGAGACTGCTGAATGCAAGGGAGAAATCCTGCAGTTACTTTTGGTTGTTTACTGAGCAAGGGCAAAATCTAAACAGCACTTGCTGCAATCAATGCAGGGATCGCCTCGGTTTCCAGAGTTGAGCTCCCTAAATGAGCCTGGCATTCTGATAACTGCAGGTGAGCACCTGAGATCAACTCCCTCCCACTGCTCCATGCTGGGAAGAGATAGGGACGTGTTTGTTCGTGAGCTCTGGGAAGGGAGAGGCACGGGGGATTTAATTGTCTGCCTGGGTGAATCGAAATGTCCTTTAAAGCAAAGAAATCAAGAGAGATTGGCCTTTAATTGGTAACCTCTGCTGATGGGGGAGGTAGTAATTAAAATGGGAAAAGGACAAAATACAGATTGGCTACCCCTACCCCTCTGTCTCGCCCCCATAATCAGTCCCCAAAATTGCATTCTCCTCTGCTCAGGCCATCTTTACAAGGCTCAGTACACAACCTGGTTGTGGGTAGCTGTGTCATTCTCGTGCCCCACCCTAGCCTAACCCTCAGTTATCCAGTTTGGAGAGAGAATACGGTTTTATCTTGAACCCTGTTCACTTGGAAGAGTTGGCCATTCACATTCTAACAGCGTGCGGAGCTGGCCTTAGAATCCAGTTGTCTTCGTGTCTCTGAAATGCAGAAATAGAAGACGCTAAATCTGCAGGGAACCCCACACCACTAAAAACGGACAGGCCAGGTGACTAAGCTTCCCAGACATTGAAAAGTAAAGGAGACCTCCATGCCAAGCCTGAGCCCTGATTTGAGGAGGGCTAGTGCTCAAACCTGGGGACCCTGTGTCCCCAGAGCCTGGCATAAGCAGGTGCTCAGCCACTGTTCCGTGGATACTCAGATGCACTCTGCTGGAGTGGCGCTCTTCTCTTAGTCTACAGGCCTACTGGGTGCTGGGCCAAGTCCTCCCTCACTGAGGGCTGCAGGCTCACCCGCCTAGGCCACCATCCTATTCAGGGGCAAACCCCAGAGGCAGGTGTTTAAGGAGATCTGCATTGGTATATATGTGAGAGGCAGGAGGGGGAGGTGTGTCATGGAGGCTGGGGGCTAGGGCTTGCTGGGGACCAGCTGTGGGTGGCATATGCATTCCAGCTATGCTGTCACCTGTGTTGTCAGGCCACCAGGTGCAGGTCAGGGGGAGGTCAGAGGCAAGAGCCTCTCAGGACATTCCTAGCCCCTGCTCCCGGAATCCCCTGGTAGGGAATAAGG